TGCTAAAAATCTAGTTCCTCGTCCATTATGATGATCTTCAGTGGTGTCAATCACTGACCTGGAATAGTGTTGCCACCTGTCCAGTTTTCACCCAGACAGTCTGGGTTTTGAATGCTGTGTCCGGGTTTCATGCTGTGTCCGGGCAGCAGAAACCCGAACACAAGATGTCAGGCAAACAGGGGCAACCAAAATTAAGATAGGGGCTACTGACCCCCCACTAGAAAAGTCTCAACTGTGATATTTACATATGAACATGCCACTGCTCGATCTCCCCAGAAAATGTCCGCACGTCGCTAGAGTGTTCGGGTTCCACTTGAAGAAAAAGTGGCAACCTCAACCTGGAACAATGATGTAACTAAGGACTTCTAACTTGGCTGACCTTCATAGTTGTCTGTGGTCAGTGGGGAATCATACCACACCCTAGCACTAGCAGTTATCAGCAATGGCAGCCTACACATTCCTTGTGACACTCAGGGGCAGATTTCTGGATTTCTGGAGAAAACGTACCATGCAAAGCTTACAATGGTGTCTCATTGATTGGTGCCCATGGTGAAAGGAGATGGTTTAGAGTGACACCAGCTTCCTTTGTGGACCTTGACATTTAATCACGTCATCACAGAGCCACCAAGGAAGTTGTTGCCGGAAAATATCCCTTTTGCAGGTTCAAATGAGGAACCGGTAGCCGTTACTGACTGCTGGTCCTGCTCCGATCGGTGAAGTATCTGCACTCAGGGCCCCTCACAACATTTCTTATTAGTACTGGCAAAGGGGGCAAATGTACTTTTTAGTACTCGCCCTCAGCCTAGTCCCTCTCTGATAAAAGTTTAAAATCATATTTCATATACAGGGTCGGATTTACTCTCTCTGCTGCCCCAAGGCCAGGTTCCTCAATGCGCCCCCCCCTCCCCGCCAACCCCTCCCTCGCATCCCCCATGGAGAATGGTAGACCTGCAGGCTGCGACATCGCATAGATCACTTGTACAAAACAAGCGGCGGCTTCCCCGCTCTACATTTGTCTCAGCTTGCCCAAAGCAGGGCTAAATGTAGAAAACAACTACTTGGAATCTTATGTCCTGGGTATCAGAAGATAGGCATTCCATACCCCTGATGCACCTGTACTCCCTGCTGCCCCAAGGCTGGGCCTTGGTTGGACTTGCGGGAAATCCAGCCCTGTTCATATACAAAATAAATAAACCAGCATTTTACACACAACACAGCACAACACAATCAGAAGTGACACTCATAGACATAATAAGGCTAGCAATGCTAGAAATTTACTTTAAATAGCCCAAAATTCATTATTATATACAAGAAAGGAAGTACTACAGTCCATCGTGTTCGACGTTTCTGGAAAGTAGTCATTCTATGCGGGACTGAAAGCTGGAGCATAGTATGGACTTATCACTGCCGAATAAGAGTGGACTTTGGCTTTAAAAAGTGTAACTCCATATAGCCCAAAACATGGTGGCTCCAGTAAAATCCGCTCAGCTGGGTCACACATGGGAAGAAAGTCGGCATTGCTACACGTGCATCCAGCTATACAAATGTGTAGTTTGTTTCAATGTTTGACTCTATATACAGTGGAGGCAGCCAACTTCAAGGATGGGTTCCGCTCACCAAATGTCCAGGTGACAGGAGCTCTGGAAGCCACAAAATAAATAACATTTTCTGTCTTTTCTAATATTAATATGCTCCAAAGATAAATCTTTCCCACCTCATCCAATCCATACAAAGGTTGGGTTTTGCATCTTTTTTTTTTTAGTTTGAATCGGCTAAATATGCCAGGGGCATAAATGTATGTGAAGCCACAGCCTAGTAGAAAAGCCAGTCCCCTGCCAGCATGCTGTAGAGGAGGACTCTCGCTCTCTGTGTGGAAGCAGTCGTCTCTCCGGCATATGCCCTGCTGAGTCAGTGCTAGAGCTCTCCAATCAGCAGGGAATAAGAGGTCTGACTTAGAAGGGGGTGTGTTGGACCTCTACAGAGAGGCCAAAGCTTTCACACAGCAAGCAAGGGTTCTTCTTCTACACAGCAGGGGACAGGCTTCCTAAAAGAAAATGAACTGTAAGACTCTGCACACCTTTTGTTTTGATGCACCTGGAATTTATTTGGCTAATGAAACCAAAATTCCAATTGGGCTTTATTCTGGAAAGCCACTCCACTACAAAGTTTATAATAGATCCAAAGGCAATTGTACAATCATGTTGTAAAATGCATGGCTAGCCTAATGTTCTGTGCGGACCATGAGCAGTGGCTATTTTTTAATTTTTTTCTGTAGAAGCAGAAAACCAACACAAATCTTCCTTCAGGCTTCAACACTATGGCAGTGCGAAGGGCATGGCCAATGTGCAAAGCACGGTAATTATCAATCTCAATGGCACATCAGTGTAATATGACTTGGTCGCCTTTGATGATGGCCTTCTTGCTCCTTGCTTTACTTCATAAGGCTGAGTGAAAAGGTTTCTCACATCACACTTACAGGATTATTCACACAAGGCTGAAGAGTTTAGAAACAATCTAGGACAACATAGCTGAACTGCAAAGTGAGCTGAATTGGAGATTTTTTCCAAATCAGCGATGTTGTCCTAGATTGTTCACTTCTCCGGCCTTCTCCAAACCCCTCACCCTTTTGTGAATAACCCTGTTATAGTATTACAAGAGCTCCTACCTACATTCACTCCTTGTCATGGTTGCCTCATGTGCTTTATGGTTTCTTCCACATGTTGCCACCACTTACTGCCCCATCTGCAACTGAAGTGCTTTCACTTCTATCATCAGCTTTGCACGCAAGACATCCGATGGCAACTCTTCTGCTCGTCAGCTACTAAACTAGGTGCGCAAATTGCAGTTTGTTCATACTGTCTATGAGCTCATATACGAGGTCCCCTTGCGCTTCCTCAATAGGCCACTGGAGAGCAACAAGATTGCCAATGGTTTCTAGAGCTGGTAGTGGTCAGCTTTCTCCTTCAAAAGAAGGGATTTATTTGACTCGCTGTGTCTCTGGTATTGCACCTTCCTGGGTTCTTTAGCATACTGCATGAGTACCGAACCTGATGGATAGCTGCCCATGAAGAGAAAGAACAAGTTTGGCAAAGTCCTAACCAGATCCTGTACTGCAGGCCATCATCGAACTGAAAAGGAACCACTGGGACAAGAGTCATGGCCTTCCTAGAAGTATGTCTCGGATTACTGAGCTTGTCTGGACCTCATATAACTCCTGACTAGCAAAACATTGTAAAATCTGTTTTCAGGATTGAGGGAGGAAGAGATACAATTCATATAAGGTGTTTTATTCTGTGTATGACCTCACTGGGAAGATTCCTCACACCCTGTCCTTGTGACACCCATAACAGAAATGGGTGAGAAGTTGTCACAGAATGGCTCAGTTATTAGAATTATCAATGTTTGCAGTTCTAACCCTTACCCACCACTTTACTAAAATTGTACTTTTGTTATAGTATGTGTCTCTACTGAAGGGGTTTTTTGTTCATCACTTCCTGTCCTGATAGGAAATGCGGGGAAAAAAAATCTTCCTAATAGGAGTAGAAATAGCGATAAAAAACAGCAGGGCTCTAACCCTTTCCCACTCTATGCAAAACAACAAAAAGGTTCTGGCTGGAGCTGGACTTTAAAGTGTATGTAAACACTAATGGTTCTGTTTATAACAAATTTATAGACCTGGTCCCCCTATGAATCCTTCTGAATGCTCGTTCTGTGTCAATAAATGCAAATACAACCGCTTTTAGATATATTTTATTTTTTAGGTCCAAAGTGTGTAATGTAATACTGCATTTTGGCCACTAGATGGAGCTAAAGAGCATAAAAAATAAGTATGATAAGTATGTATCTCCTATGCTCCTCTGCTCCATCTAGGGGCCATAGTACAGTATTAAATTACATACATTCAACTTATATATAAACATATAAAATATATCTAAGAACAGTTGTTTTTGCATCCATTCACACAGAATGAATGTTCAGAAAGATTCATAGAGTGAATGGCTCTGCAAATTGGTTATAAATAGACCCCTAAATCTATTGTCAGTTTGTTTGGGATGATGTCTATCATTTTACAGTTTTATTAAGCAAATAAACTAAAAACACAAAGCGCACAGCTCGCCCCTATCATGCGTCCCCTCAATCCATGGTGCACGGATCACCCTCTTCTGGAGTGATAGGCTCAAAAACTGTAGAAGCAGCATACAATGATCTTCCAAAGAAATTCAAACTTTATTCCACATGCATAATATAATACGTTTCTGCCTTACTCGGCCTTAGTCACAGCTGGACTAAGGCCGCGTAAGGCAGAAACCTGTCAGCGGTGGTTCTTTGTATAGATGCATGTGGAATAAAGTTTGAATTTCTTTGGAAGATCATCGTGTGCTGGTTCTACAGTTATTAAGCAAATAGTTTTGTGAATCCATAACAAAGTGTTATACCTGTAGATCCTGCCAGTAACTACACTTCCTGTTGCAGGCTGACAATGCTAAGCCATTGCCTCACAATTACCATTATCAGCATAATTAATTAGCACTGTCAGCCTGGCATGTGAGCAGCTTCAATTGGCTGTTGGCTTGCCTATCTGGTAGGCATGACAGACAGCCCAACAGCCAACTATAGGAGGGCAAACGTCAGGCTGACAATGCCGCTGCACGCTGGGCAAGACATTGGCTAGGTGTTGTCAGCCTGCAACAGGAAGTGCTGTTACTGAAACGATCTCCAAGTAAGAAACTTTGCAACAGAGTAAAAAAAATAAAAATTATTTGCATTAAGAAAACTGTCTGCAGTGAGGCATAATGCCAAACACACTGAAACATAGTTTTAGGGTTGACATACACTTTAAATAGCAGAATCAGTTGCATGCATGGGCATAGATAACTGATCAGTTTCTACTCTTTTGCATAGAGCCTTTCTTTGGAATGTTACAGGTACAACGGGGGTTAACCCTACACAGCTTGCTAAATCAATGAGCATGGAAAATCCCTTTAAAGCAAAAATCCAGGTTGGCATACTCAAGAGATGGACTTTTTTTTCTGGCAATCCAAGTACATGGAAGATTGTGTTGTCTCCATTGAATAATTTGTTTGTATGGAGGCGCCCCTCTGCCTGAACTTTCTGGGAATCAGCGCCCTGTAGACCTCCTTCGCTTTCCTTCTAAAATTGTTCCCGACTATTACATACAGGAGCGGATTGATGCAGCTGTTACTGAAGCCGATGTAGGTTGATATCTGGTTGAAGATTTCATTAGGTTGGCTTACAACGCAGCGAGGGAAGACCTTAAATTGATCCAACGTGTCTATGAAAGCGGAAATGTGGAATGGGAGCCAACAGACTATAAACACCAGCAGCACGGATAAAACCAACCACGTGGCTCTCTTTTCATTTTTGATTTCCTTAAATTTTTGCATGGTGTTATTCCTCAGGACGCTTACAATTTGGAAGGAGCAGAATCCGATGACTATCACAGGTATCAAGAAACCAACAACATTTAAGATGATATTGTTTACAACATGCCATGTGTCTGATGGGGCGTCTATGATACATGCGGTGGTGTTGAGCTCTGGGACGAAGGTGACTTTTCGGAAAATAAATTTGGGCAAGCTCACTACTGCCGCAAAGGTCCAAATGATGGCGCAGGTCACTTTGGCCCACCAAGGTCTTCTCATCCGACCGACGGACATGGTCTTCACTAGAGCCAAATATCGATCGATGCTGACCATCATTAAGAAGTAGACGCTGGCAAAGAGGTTTAACATGATCAACGAGTTCACAGCTACACATAGGAAATCGCCAAACTGCCAGTAGAATCCTTTAGCAATGTAAATAGCCCAGAAGGGTAGGCCAGAGATGAAAACCAAATCTGCGGCTGCCATGTTCCCCAGATAGATCTCAGCCACAGTGCAGCGACTTTTATGAAGCAAAAAGACTGAAATGACAAATGCATTTTCTATAAATCCCAAGACAAAAATGAACCACATGTAGACTGGTTGGTAGATGAAAAGCCATTGAAAGTCTTCTAAGGATATACATGGCTCGGATGTGGAATTCGCAGACATTGTGAAAGAAGTGACTGGCTCCTGTGAGAGAAACAAAGGAAGGGTTACTGGATTGTATCTGGCCTTATTTATCATTTATCTAAATTTTACTTGTCTAGAGACAAGATGTAAGGAAAATCTCCGCAATGAGACAGTTCAGTTTTTAAATATACCTCAAAGAGTTTCACCTACGTATCTAAACTCAATCTCCATTGCAATTCTTCTACTAATACAGAATATATTGCTATGTAACCAGAACATTTTACAAACTAATGCGCTCGCCCAAAGTGTGAACAAACTCCACTCCAATCTCATGAAATGCCATGTCCCTGCACGCTATGGTGCTCTAGTGCTAAGATTACCTGTCTGTTCTTGCCGTTGGTTGTAGTGACATCATAGGTAGCAATTTCCCCTAATTTGTAATGCCAATAATGTTTTATGGTCCTCCAGAGGTTACTCATCCATCCAGTGAGGTTTGTTCACACTCCACGTGAGTTCAGTAGTGTGTGAATTGTATAGCAATTCATTGGGGGTTGCTTGCTAAAGACAACAGCAGCTGGCAAATTCACTGTATCAAGTTATCATCAATGGTTACTTTACTGGATACTTTACTCTAAGCTCCACATACATACTTTGTTCCTATTCACATAAAGACATCTGGGTCCTCTGTGCTTGTGGGCCCCATAAAAACTGCACAGCCTGCAAGAGCTATAGTCATACCCTTGCATTGGGGGCTGGTATTGTAAAATCCCCACAAGAGAATGAGACCAATGACTCCCGCACATATGATGATGGGTGGTTTATCATTGCAATGCGTCAGCTCAGTAAGTAAGTTATAACTGGCACCCCACACAGATGGCCCTTCTAGCAACACAAAGGCAGTATAAGCTTCTCAGAAGTAGATTTTACTCAGTTACTACAATATTGTTAGGATAAAACTAGGGATGTTCAGATACCAGTGCCGATACTTGGCATTTTCACAAGAACTACCAGGGTTGGAGCAGGTTGCAGCTGGGACTTGGCTCTGGCGCTCCACCACTGTCCTGAAATCATTAGTCTGTATTGTTTTAGAAAAACTGTCACATGACAATAAACAAAAATGTCTCAGTACTTGTATCTGTGAGCACTTGGACCCCTATCGGTACTTGTACTTGAAAAAATGTTATTGGTGCATCACTTATATATATATATAGTTATAAAAAACAAAATCATACATTAAAACAGAGATGTACAAATCCCAGGAGCTCCGTGTGCGCCTTACAAATGACAGCTGCCTCTAACTTTTGAATTTTTCTCTAGTCTAGTCTTGGAGCTCGAAAAGTATCTGTACATATACAGAGGACAGTACTTGCTATCTGAACATCCGTAGATAAAACTAATTAGGTCAATTTCTGTACCACCCTTCACATTTGAACTGCTCGTTTGGGCTCTCAGTCTTCCAATCAGAGATGGATCTCTTCTCAGCATGAATTAGGACAGGCTGTAATATTACTGCTCAGGCTGCTTATCGCTGCCAAAGAATACAGTTCATTGTCATCGGCTACAGAACTCTGGTTCTGGTCTGGTTCTGCTACTGTCCCTCAGTTGACTGAGCAGGGCTGTAAGTATGCTGTCCCCAAATATGGTTCACCTTTTAGGGGGGGAGAACTCAGACTTTGTTTTCTGGCCAAGGACAGAAGGTGCCAGTGGACAAGTACAAGTAGGGGTGAAATGACTGTGGGGAGCAATGGAATAGAACATTTGGATTACAGTATGCACAAATAAATAGTCATCAGAAAGGCTATAGGGACCATTTGGAGGGCCTTCGACTAACTTTGTGTTGTGTCTACTGGATGGGAAGTGAAGGCAAGTCTGGGGACAAAGATGAAAAAAAAATGTCTAACAATCTAACTATTCCCTACCTAATGCCAAAAAAAATGGGCTTTAGATATACCTTAAAACAAAAACAAAAAATAAGATAAAGAAATAAGATAAAAAGCCCATTAAAAGATAAAATAACAAAAACAACTTTTGCTGCAATATACGCTTTAATCCACTGAATTCCCCCTCAGTACTTTTTTTTATCTGCCACCAGATGTCCTCAGTTTAGCACAGTGATGAGCTCATCTCTCTGTCAATTCCTATCAGCATGCTTCTTGTCAACTCATGAACTGATTGTCTCTATTACTGCTTCTTCCTCTCACTCTCCAGCCCTGCTGTACAGGGACTGCGAAAGGCTGATACCCGGTCAGATATAGGTATGTACACTGCTTCCATTTAAAAAATAAATGTCATGATGTATTAATAACTACTTCAGAGCTGCATATTTAGTTTTTTGTATCTGCCTGATGATAATGATAAAGATGACATAATCTCACACGAGAACAATTACAATAAACTGCTTCCTTTGTCATAATTTAATGCATCAGGCCCTTCCTGTCTCCATCCAGTTTCTTACGTCTTCATGTTTGATGCCAACCAGTGCCATGTTTTTATGTAGTACATGCCAAACACTTATTTACACATCATTTTCTGTCATTTCCCGTAAACCTCTTTGAAGGAATGATGAACATTGGGCAGGGTGGTAGCTGGGAGGACTTTAAACCTTGTGGCGTTCCGCTCATTGTTTCAGATATTCCACAGGTTAGATCACAGGGATCCAGCACACACTGGTACCTGCGCAATCATTAGAGATGAGGGATGGTAGATCTGTACAGGATTCTCATTGTCATGCTTGGGAAGCTGGCCCATTGTGAACCGTATCACAAACTACAGATCAGGTACAGCCCGTCCTCACTTAGAACACATCTCCTCTCCATTCCCACAGCCATTCATCTTCTGCTACAAGGACTCCATTCGTTTTCTTTTAACCATTATTTCGTGAAAATAAAGTCAAAAGAGAACCAGAGGCAAGATGCAAAATTAAGTAGTAAATGCCCGGCAATGCTTGCCCCATTTGTGTTTTGCTTGTAGAAGTAGAAAATTATATTTGATCCCAGCCTACTGTAATCTGAAAGATCTGCTTGCATGAGTTGCCATGTGTGTTCAGGGGCATGCCTTGTCGAGGGGGGCTTGTTAGGGTGGATGGTGTAACGTATGCTTAGCTATTTCAGTAATGATTCCCTTCCCAATGATCAGTCCTGAGGAGAAGGGGGAAGAAAACCCATAGTCATAGGGGTCCAGCCTCGCAGGGAGAATCATGGCTGGTGGGACATTGCTGCTTGGACACTGTCTGTAGGTCCTACAAGGCAATGCTAGCCCCCTTTGTATTTTGGTTGTAGAAGTAGAAAATTATATTTGATCATAGCCTACTGTTATCTGAAAGATCTGCTTGCAAGCGTTGCCATGTGTGTTCAGGGGCATGCCTTGGTGAGGGGAGCTTGCTAGGGTAGATGGTGTAACGTATACTTAGCTCTTTCAGTAATGCTTCTCTTCCCAATGATCAGTCCTGAGGAGAAGGGGTAAGAAAATCCATAGTCATAGGGGTCCAGCCTCACAGGGAGGATCAAGGATGGTGGGACATTGCCGTTTGGTCTGTAGGTCCTACATTTTGTGATGCAGACACTCCCAAAATGGTGTTTGTAGCCTATAATTGTGGACATTTTCCTGTCCACAAGTGCAACTTTCTGAACAATAAATGTCAATTGTGGACTCTGGCCACCATTATAGGAGGACTCTTCTCCTGCCCAGATCCAGTACAACAGGCAAGGGAGAGACCAAGAATGAGTGAGAGAAAGAGAGAAAGGGAAGGGGGAGAGAAGGGGAGAATTGGGGGAAGAGAGGGAGAAAAGAAATGGAAGAGAGAAAATGGGAGACATAGAGAGGGGAATAAAACAGAAAAAGATGGCATCTGTGAGGGGGCACCAGAATCATGGGGCAGCTTCTGCATTCTAATGGCAGGGTAGGCAGGTGGGCACAGTGATTCCAGAGCTCATTCCTTGAATAGTCCTGGCTACTTAGTCTGCAAATATTAATCAAAACAAGTCACTTAAATCAAAGGCATCGGGGTTGATGTACTTAAGGTAAATAAGCTGTTCACTTTGCAAGGGAATTTTCCCATAGCTTAGTGAACATGGTGAAACTCTGCTGACTTCCATCATCCGATCACGTGCAAGCACAAATACTTTTCTTTTATTGCCCTTGCATGTCATTGGATATTCTCTTCACCCCATTCACTAAGCTTAAGAAAAATTCCCTTGCAAAGTGAACAAATTTTTTGTTTTTATTAAATCAACCCCATCATGTCCAATCAGGACTGTCACAAAATAGATGTCCGGTATTGAGCATGATGGTGTTCCTTGGCTGAAACAGCTGAAGTCTATGTACTAAAAATACACAGGAATCTCGAGAAATGAAGAGGATATTGTCAGGTGAGCGGGCAAGCCTGAACCCCCCCCCCCCAAAATATGGCAGCCACCATTATCTAAGGACTGGTAAGATGTCAAAGATTAAAGCAGATCTGCGGGCACATTTTTTCTTAACCCTTGCAGTTGGGCTACCCCTGTACTGCGAGGGTTCAGTGCTTGTTTTTGTCTAGGTTATATTCACCCAAACCGCAGAGCCGACTGGCTGCTACTCCGGTCCATGAAAACACTCTCCTCCTCTTCTGCAGCGATGGTATGACCCCCGGTGTCCTCATGTCCTATACACAGTGTATAGAACATGATGAGTCAAGGATCCTTAGACCGCTGCAGTGTAGGGGGGAGAGGTTCCAGGGATTGGCCTAAGAGCAAGCCGACTCCGAGGATTGGGTGAGTATAACTTTATTTTTAGCACCTAGACAAAAAGTAACACTTAACCCTTGCAGTGCGGGGGTTGCCCCACTACAAGGGTTAAGAAAAAATGCTTTAAATGTAATTTTTGTTCTTTAGTTCAGATATGCTTTGAAGGAAAGAGTAGCTGTGACAGGTGCGTGGTCTTAAAGGAAGACCCTTCCCAGCTTGAGCCCACATTGACCTTTATTGCTAAGCCGGCGGGAGACACTTCAAGGAGGAACCTCATCTGACATAGCACTCCAAG